ATGGGCCAGATCGTTCCAAGCTAGGGAGAGGGTCACACATGCAGCCTACAATCTCAGCTGTTGTTTCCCTCACACACACACACACACACACACACACACACACACACACACACACACACACACACACAATCCCTTAATTCTTTGGCTCTAGCTACTCCTTTTATCCCATTTCTGTAATTCCATTGAGAGGTCTCTCTGTCTGTTTTTCAGGTAGGGTCTTACTATAGTAGCCCTGGGTGGCCTGGAACTTGGAACCAGGCTAGTCTTGACCTAGTAGAGATCACCTGCTTTTATCTCCCAAGAGTTTTGTATCAAAGGCAAGCACCACCATCCACACCAGTCACCCATTGAGTTTTCTTAGTATAGCTGATAAACTAATTTCCTAAGTTTTCAGACCAGCATTGACCTTACTGTGGCATTTCTATGACCTTGACCCTTTGTTCTGTCCTCTGTTTCAGTTACCCATGTATACAGCTGACCCATAAACTAACCCAACCTTCTTGGACTGTCTTGCAGGTTTAAGTGGTTCCTAATAATAGAAATAAGACCCTTAGTTTCCCAAATTAGACCTCTGTTTCATCTGTAAGTGAAAATAGCATTTAACTGATAGGGTTTTGTGAGGATGAGTCAGGATACATAAAACATTGGACACCATTCCTAGCACTTAGTAAATAACTTAGAATCTCACATACTCAAATCAAACCCAAAATAAACAATATTAAGAATTTTTCTACTGGGAGACAGAGGCAGGTGATCTCCATGAGTTCAAGGACAGCCTGGTCTACAGGGAGTGTTCCAGGATAGCCAAGGCTACACAGAGAAACCCTGTCTTGAAGCAAATAAACAACAAAACAAAACAATTCTTCTGAAACTAGGTGTAGTGGTGCATGCCTTTAATCTCAGCACTTGGGAGGCAGAGGCAGGTGGATCTATGTGAGTTCGAAGCCAGCTATGACTATATATTGAGATCCTGTCACACACACTAATAGATTTTTTTCTGGGGATGTTGCTCAATGAGAGTACTTACATATAGCTTGCACAGTGCCCTAGGGAAGGAGGAGGGCACATGAAATCAGTTGTAGTGGTACTCACTGGTAATCCTAGCACCTGGCGGGTAGAAGCAGGAGGGTCAGGAGTTCAAGGCCAGTTATTGCTCTAGAGAGATAGGCTGTGCCCCATCTATCCCAGTGATGCCAACATCCACCTGTGATCTTTTTTTTCTTGCAACTACTTTTTTTTTTGGGGGGGGGATATTTTTATTAGGTTGATTGAGGTGGGAAGACTCTTCCAGGATGGGTGGTACCATTCCCTGGACTAAGATCCTGAGATTTATTTATTTATATGTTGAATGCTGTTTATTGAAGGAGGGAAGAGGTCTTAAATACAGGCTTACAGCACAATGGGAGAACCCCGGAGAGCAGAGCAGAAGTTCGCTATGATGTTTTACAATCTTGCATCTAAGCTGTTAAGCCCATTATGCAGGATACACAGACAAGGAACTTACCTTAAGCATTCAGGAGGGTGGAACCCGGCAGGGAATTAGCATAGGGAGGATATCAAAGTCAAGGTCAGCAAGCAAGGCAACAGTTACCCAAAACGGGGACCAGGGCCCTACAGGTCCCCCTTTTACTAAAAAATGAGCTTCTGACTTAGGTTTGCAACTACTTCTAAGCCACTCCATGTACCAATTCTTCTCTTAAATATTATTTATTTAATGTGTATGGATATTTTATCTGCATGTATGTCCGTGTACCATGGGCACACCTGGTGCCCTAAGAGGTCAGAAGATGGCATGGGATCCCCTGGAACTGAGTTACAGGTGGTTGTGAGCTGACATTGTGGGTACTAGGAAACCTATGTCCTCTGGAAGAGCAGCCAGTGCTCTTAATCATCGAGGTGTCTCCAGTCCACTTGTCTCTCCCTCCTCTTTTCCTTCTGTCTTTCTTCTTTCAGAACTGCCTTGAAGGCACACATGGAGCACACACCTATAATCCTGCACTTTAGGTTGAGGGAGGATTGCAGGCTTGAGGACTGCCTGGGCTATACAGTACAACCCCTGTCTCCAAAAAATCAAGAACTGTTTTGAAATTAGGAATTAGAAGCCCATCCAATTCTGTCACACCACTAACTGCCAGATTCATTTTGAATAATGTGAACCAAGGAATGCACGTTTCCTTTCCTCTTCCCTTCCCACTAGCACTTCACACCCAAGTCTTTGTTATGTGCGGACAGAGGAGGATTAGGAGTGCAGTCACCTCGAACCCAAGTCCTTTTTGGTGGTGTTCACCAGAGGCTTTTTTGCTTTGTTATAGGTTTATCTCTTAGGTTTAACTTTGTTAAAGTCTTAACAAAGCTGATGTGAAAACATTTGTTAAGAGCCAGAGGTGTTCAGTGGTAAAGCCCTTGCCTAGCATGGACAAGGCCCTGGGTTCAGTCCCCAGAATTGCAAAAAATAAAACAAACAAACAAAAAAACCAGCAACAACAAAACAAAAATGTCCAAGTTGGTATGACCTTAAGCAAATGCAAGAGAGGAGTGGGAGAAGAGACGGCTCAGTGGTTAAGAGCATATGCTGCTCTTGCAAAGGACCTGGGTTCAGTTTATGAGTACCTACCTGGCAACTCACAAGTGTCTGTTACTCCAGTTCCAGCTGATCCAGAGACCTGTTTTGGCCTCTGCAGGAACCAGGTACACATGCAGTACACTTACATATACGCAAGCAAAACACTCATACACAAAATATGTAAATCTTCATCAGATGGTACACACATTTTTTCCTTTCTTTTTTTTCTTTTCTGTTTTTTGTTTTTGTTTTTTTTTCCACACAGAGTTTCTCTGTGTAACCCTGGCTGTCCTGAAACTAGTTCTGTAGACCAGGCTGGCCTCGAACTTACAGAGATCCACCTGCTTCTGCCTCCCAAGTGCTGGGATTAAAGATGTGTACTGCCACCGCTCCACCCCACCTCTGGATGGTGCATGCATTTAATCCCAGTAGTTTAAGGCCATTCTGATACATACATAGAGTATGACATTATCAAAAAAATAAAATATAGACTGGGCAGTGCTGGCCCACACCTTTAATCCCAGCACTCGAGACAGAGGCCGGTGGATCTCTGTGAGTTTTAGGCTAGCTTGGTCTACAGAGCAAGTTCCAGGACAGCCAAGGCTATCCTGAGAAACTTTTCAAAAATTAAAAACACTTACTTATTGATTTCGTGTGTGTGACTATATACTCATGCCACAGTGGGCAAAGTGGTCAGAGTTGGTTTTCCCCTCCCACCACATAGGCCCTGGAGATCAAACTCAGGGTATCTGCTGAGTCATCTAGCCAGCCATGTTAGTCTTATATGCAGTATTAGGTTCTTCTTGGCCTATTAGTGGTTAAAAAGAACTGGGAAAAAATAGGCATATACACACATGTGAATATGAATATATATATATAAATAAAACACAACTCATATGTGTATGATGTGTATGTGGGATTAAACCCACAGCCTCCTGTATGCAATGTAAGTGCTCTGCCATAGAGCTAGATATCCAGCCCTTAAAGAATATTTTGTGTGTGGAGGCCAGAGGTTGACATCAGGTGTCTTCCTCAATTGTTCTCCACCTATTTTTGAGGGTCTCTCATGAACCTGGAACTCACTGATTTGGCTGAACTAGATGGCTATCAAGTTCTGGGTGTCCTGTCTCCACCTCCCCAGGTGGGATTACAGGTGCATCATGACAAGATTTTATGTGGGTGCTGGGGATCCAAACTCAGTTCTGCCTGTGTTGCAAGCCCATTACCAACTGAGCCATCTCCCCTGGCTTCAAAAATACTGATGTCTCTCTTTACATTCTGACTAACCTCTCCATTTCCTAGGCAACCTGGCATCCAAGACACAACCTCATTGTTGTGGGCCGATACCCAGATCCTAATCTTGAAAGTTGCGTTCCCTATGAACTAAGGACAATAGATGTGTTTGATGGAAGCTCGGGGGAAATGATGTGCCAGCTCTATGACCCAGGATATTCTGGTATCACTTCGGTGAGACTTGGACCCTCAGTGATGGGAGGAAGCGGGGAGTCGAGCTGCCTTTCTGATCAGAATTAGTCCCCATGTACCCTTCTGCCTCTGTACTGCCTTCACCCCAACTCTACACTGATATTCTTACCTCTGCAGCTCAATGAGTTCAATCCTATGGGTGACACACTGGCCTCTGCTATGGGTGAGTAGAAGCAACTGTATCTCAGCCTGTAAGACTGACCCTACCCCTAGGTTTTAGTGGAGGCTAAATTCACCCTGGCCCTGCCCTATTCATGCCAGGGCAGTAGGCAGTAGAGACATCTGGGAAACAGTGGTCTCTGGCCCAAATCACCCATCTGGCTTTATGTTGGTCAAGACAATGTCAGGCTCCCATCTGGTCTGCTAGCTCCCCATGACAGCTCCCAGCTCTGAGACCGATAACAGAAGGTGTCGGTCAGACTTCTTGTTCCTTCTAGGTTATCATATTCTCATTTGGAGCCATGAGGAGGCCAGGTCACAGAAAGACCACGAAAGACAATGAAGAAGGTGTGAGCCAGCAGCATCTGGACCCCACAAGTGGGAAGAAGTTCTGTGAGAGGAGGCAGCTATTTGTTAAGGGACCAGCAGTCCCCAGCTCTCAGGGCTGCTGGGGGACACCTGTGGCATGGGACACTGTGGGACTAAGACAACTGGCATGTTACTGCTCTAGACTTTGATCCAGAAACAGAGCAAACCACTGCCCTAAGGGTCCCCGCTGTGTTTAGCCTAGAGTCACAGTACTTCTCTTTTGTCTGATGTGTGGTAGCAGAATAACCAGGGAATTTTTAAAAATTTATGTTCAATCTTAACGTGGCCAATAAAAGTATATCCTTTGTACATCAACTGAAAAACCCAAAAGCCAGCTGGGCTTCTTAGCAGACCTGGTACAACCTGGTAAGAGTGCTACTTGGATGTCAGAAATGGGGAGAAAAGAAAGGCACAGAGGCGGCACTCACAGTCAAACCTTCATTTTCTCCGAGACACTTCAGCCCTCTGGGGGCCACAGTCAACAGTCCAGTCACCCCTGCATTTACTTCAGGGAGGGTCACTTCATGATGTGTTTCTCTGCTGCCTGTGGCCTCCACTTCTCCAGGTATAGTACAAGTATATCCTTCAGACCTCCTGAGACACCTGCTCAGGCCAAGGGTTGACGCTAACAGTAGCCTCAGCCACAGGGAAGCTTTGCTGTTGGATGACCCAGTTCCTTGATGGCCACATTTTATGCTCCCACTGATTCGCAGTTTTTGCCTCTAAAAAAGTACCAAGGGACAATGTCCTCTAAGCCATTGCCAAAGTGGTGGGCTAGAGACGAAGGCGTGGTGGGAGAGCAAGGCAGGCCAAGCACCGGCCTCTTCGGCTTTGTTTTTTTGTCCCAGGCCCTGAGTGAAAGCTGAATGCTAGTCTGTATCTCAGGTCCTTAGGGAGTATAGAAGAGGCAGATCCCACTGGAGAAGGCCAGTGTCCAACATAGTACATGGTAAACATCAGGCATGGAGGTGGTGAGCCTGAGGTGCCATGGGCCCGGCCGAGCCTCTCTCATTCATTTGGGCTTAAGTAATCAGGGGGGCTAAACCCAGGGACTCCTGTCCGTGGGCTGGGATCAGCAACAGTCAGGAGCGAGGACTCAGCCCACCTCCCCTAGGAGGCGGAGGGAAGGGGACTGAGTGGTTGTCAAGCATGGTCTTCCCTGTCTGCAACATGGTGGTAGCCAGGAGGCTGGGCCTGCATCCGGAAGAGGACCGTGAGGAGCAACACTATGAGAAGGAAGAGGATGGAGCCGCAGACAGCCAAGGCCACAATCACCTCTAGGCAGGGGAGGGGAAAGGTAACATTAGTATTCATCCAACAAATAGAGAGCACTACCCCATGCCAGGGACTCTTCACAAAACGTGGATATACACGGGTGGTCAAGACAACCTGCTCTTACAGAGTTTACGTTCTAGAGAAGCGATCGTTTGATGGTGATGACACATTAGTGATGCTATATGAGCAAGATGAGTTACTCAGAAAAGAAATCACTGAGGAAAGAGGAGCAGAGACCTGGGGTCGAAAAGTAAAACAGATCAGAGAGTGGAGTGCTGGGGTCGGGGTAGAAGGACAAGCAAGTACAAAAGACCCTGGTACTGGAATAGGATCGGGGTTCTGGATTCAGCAAGAAAATACCACTGGAGCAGAGTAAGCAAGGGGCACTAGGAAAGAGGAGACAACCAGACCAAGAAGAGGCTGGGTGGTCATGGTAGAGAACTTGGGTTTGGTGTGTGATTAACACATACACACACACATTAAAAAAAAAAAATGCATGGTCTCATATAGCCCAGGCTGTCTTGGAACTGGCTATGTAGTAGAAAACAACCTTGAACTTCAAATCCCCCTGAGTGCTGGAATTAAAGGTATGGCCCACCACACCCAGCTTATACAGTGCTGGGGATTGAACTCAGGGTTTCTTCCCTGTGTGCTAGGCAAGTGCTCTAACAACTGAGCTACACCTCCAGCCTCAGTTTATATTTCTTAAGAGATTAACTGCTGCCTTGAGACTGGTAGGGACAAGAATAGAACCAGAAGGAACATTAGGTTTTGAGCAGTTCAGGCAAGAACTGATAGTGTTAGGGCGGAGAAGCAAGAGCTCGGTATCTGAGAAGCTGAATCTGCTAGTGGACTGGGTGGTGGAGTACGAGGGAGAGAATGCCCAGCGTTCCACTGTGCGACTATGAGACTGATGGGGCATCTATTGAATTGAGGACTTAGGACGAACCGAGGGGAGGAGATGCTGTTTTAGACAGCTTAGGTGCCTTATTTGACACCCACGTAGAGAAGAGGCCTCAGGGTAGCAGTAGCTGGGGGAGAATCTAACTCAGAAGTCATAAATCTGTAAGTCATACTACACGAGTGGAACTTAACTTACCATGGAGATAAGGTAGGGGAGCCATGGGCTTGGATGAGATGCCAGGAGTCAGGACAAACAGGAGAAGAGCTAGGGACAAGCCTCAGGCCAGTCATTGTTTAGTGAAGAGGAAGAACGGTAAGGAAGTTGTAGTAAGTGAAAATCGGAAGTCATGAAAACGCTACTGTTCTGCAGTGCTGGGTAGGGGAATGGATCCAGGGTTTCACATGTTAGCCATGGCTTCTACCACTGAGCTATGTCTGCAGCACTCAAAGAGCACGTTTAAGGAAGGAGAGACAGCTATGGCTTCTGCTGAGAAGTGAGAGAAACTGACCGAGAACCGTCATTTCGGCAACAGCTTTGTTGAAGCAAAAGATGACATCAAACTGTTTAATGTCAGTCTGAGGAAGTAAAGCCAGAATGTAGGCAGCTCTTGGAAGGATTTTACCCAAAGGGATGAGAGAGAGAAAGAGAGAGAGAGAGAGAGAGAGAGAGAGAGAGAGAGAGAGAGAGAGAGAGAGAGAGAGAGAGTCAGAGTCTCAGAAGTCTTTGTTAAGCTTTGCAATGGGAGTGATCCAGTGGAGAAGAGAACATGTTCTCAGTGAAGGGGAGACGAGACCCAAAGAGTGTAAGTGGAGAGGCTGCACCTGAGTACTAGCGTATACAAGCAGGTAAGCTGGGAGAATGACAGTTCTTTCCTGGTGACTCTTATTTTCTCAGTAATAAGAGTATCACCCGAGGGTGAAGAATGGGGAGAATATATAAATATGGTATTAGGGTTGAAGAAGCTGTCCAGGGAAAGGCAGGAAGATGGCTGGAAATATGACTGCTCCCGGAAGACTTGTGGACGTGATTTTTTGTTTGTTTGTTTGTTTGTTTTGTTTTTTGTTTTTGTTTTTCGAGACAGGGTTTCTCTGTATAGTTTTTGGTGCCTGTCCTGGATCTCGCTCTGTAGACCAGGCTGGCCTCTAACTCACAGAGATCCACCTGGCTCTGCCTCCCGAGTGCTGGGATTAAAGGCGTGCGCCACCACCACCCGGCTGTGGACGTGATCTTAACACGCACCCAGGACAGGATAAGCACAGAAGCAGCTGGCAGCTTACCTGTGTCTGCAGTATCACTTGTTAGCTGGCACTCCTTCTGCCAGTCCTTGGGTATGACAGGCTCTGTGAGGCGGAGGAAGTCCTGTAGTGGGCAGCGGTGAGGGCAGCCAGGCAGGATCAGAGGCCAGGGTGCCTTCTTACTGTCATTCCGAAAGTACATCTCCACAGAGAAGTTCCTGAAGAGTTGACAGGAGGCAAGATGGGGGATGCTCACCATGCCCATACCTGAGTCTCTGGGCTGCCTTCAGTCCTCTTAAGTGCCCCTTTAGAGGACACCCTGGTAGTTCCACTTACCCATTGTCTTCCTGATACAGTTCAAATATGTGGCAGGAAGCATAGGGGGCTTGTTTTCCGTTGTAGACATTCAGGGCCATTTGCAGAGCAACCAGGGTGGTATCATGCTGTAGGGAGAGGGAATGCCCAGAAGACTGGTTGCTCCTTTACATGCCCAGGAACTGAATCGGGGAAAGCACCAGGTTCCTGGCTTGACACTTGAGTGTTGGGGGATTTGGAGCTTACCGCAGAGTAAACCAGAAGCTTAGGGAATTGGGAGGTGGTTGCCATCAGTGTCAGGTTCTTCAGTATCTGAGCCAGCAGAACTCCTGAAGAAGAGAAATCCTGAGTGTCAGTGTCTTGAACCATCCTCATCTGCTAGTCTGTCTGATCACCAACCCAGAGGACTCTTCCAGTTCATGGAGACCTTACTGGAACTCTACACCACCAGCCGCCATGAACTGTCAAGCTGACATAGGACACAGCTAAGGCAAGCTGTCAGTATTTAGACACGGGTGCCAAACCTGAGCCAGGAGGCCCTGATTATGACCGATTTAACAGTGTGGACACAGTGTAAACTTAAGACTGCCTCACAGCACACAAAGGGTGCTCACGCCAGGGCAACTGCTGTATGCAGGCTCTGAAAACGGCAGTGTCCAAGGTTTGAGAAGGCATGCCCCTGAATGCTTAAATGAAGTAACTGGCACATGTATTTCCCTCATCCTTTTCTCCAAAGGCCTTAGCAGTTCTCTGGAGGGAGGCATGCAGTTAGGAAAGAGAGGAAAGGTCTTCTGACATGGGTGAAACTTGAGGGAATGGCAGGCCAGGTGTGGTGGCGCACACCTTTAATCCCAGTACTCAGGAGGCAGAGCCAGGCGGATCTGTGATTTGAGGCCAGCCTGGTCTACATACAGAGTTCAAGCTGGCCTGGCCAGAGTTGCATACTGAGACCTGTGACTCAGGCTAAATGTCAGAGGACCAGGAGATTTGGGTGACTAGCAGGGATGGCAAAGGGGAGATCTGCTTTTGAAAGAGCAGAGAATCATCTTAGGCAGAACAGTGTGTGAGAAGCTCCCACAGAAGATTGTCAGTGCTGGAGAGTTTGGGAGGGTGCTGACATGCTGTCTGTGTCACTCACCCCCCTGAAGTCGGGCCTTCTGTACTTGCTCGTGGATCCCGAAGAGGAAGAGGAAGCTGAAATCCTTTAGCTGGCTCAGACGGTGCACCGTTTGGGGTGAGGCCCAGGGCGGCAGGAGCAGCCCATGTGTTTGCTGTGTATCGCAGCGGGCAGGTTAGCTCCCTAGGCCTAGGCCAGAGCCTCTCCAGGGGTGGCTTTCTTCCCCAGGTGGGGAAGGTGCCTGTGTGTGTGAGGGAGGAAGAGGAGAGCAGAGGTGAGGCGGAGGGGCCACTGCAGACATGGCAGGCAGCAGGGTATTGGAAAGGATGCTCAAGCAGGAAGAGCAGACTCAGCAGAAGGAAATCTCACAGCACTGAGCTCTGGATGGAGAAGGGTACAGATTGCTGACAACTAGTAAACCATTTCCCACTCTGAGGTTCTTTTTACCCGTGAGGGAAGTTCCCAGGTTACATAAGCGCTGGCCTGCTGGGCCTTCCCGGTGGGGATGACAGTAGCCAAGCAACATGCTCTGCTGCCCTAGAGATCTGGACCTGCTGAGGAGAGAAGAGCAATCCCAACAGGCACCCAGGTCAGCTCACCTCACAAAAGAGTGTGTCATAAACATTCCAGATGGTCTCTAGGGTCAGGTTCGTAAGCCCTGTCTCATTGGCCACCATGTCCAGAAATTGCTATGAAAAATGGATCAGGAGATCAGTACTGTTCTGGGGAAAGGGCACTCTGATGACTTACACCTCAACCCCCACTCACTGCATTCTGAATACTCCTGTTCTGATACTCTGGTGTCTGCCGAGTCTCATTCTGCAGCTGTTCATAACGGGGACATGGGCCCAACGGAAACTTCAGCAACTGCAGATTAAGGGGCAAACGGGCAGAGGAGTCTGGGATCAGTATCAGTAGGCCCATAATCATAGTTGTCCCCTCACCACTTCTTAAGAAGGGCTGATCGGTCTTACCCTATCTTCAGTGATGGGCACGGTGTGAACAGGGATAGGCTGCCATGAAATGTTAGGGTTGAAGCGCTGCACTTCACTGGGAGGGAAGAGTCCAGCCAGGTTGGCCTGAGCACTCATGAGAGTTCGGTCAAAGTCAGTGCTTCGCACATAAACCTGTGGATTGGCAACATGAATCTGTCTGTGTGTGTAAAAGCACTCTGGCTCCTCACTAGAGCCCCAGGGAGAACCTGTTCTGGATGGTTACTCAGCACGTTATAAACTTACCAGGAAGATCCAGGTCCTGTTCCTCAAGGCCCCAAACATTCAGTTAAAAGCTACAATTCAGTCTGTGGGAATGAGCAGGCTGGCCTCAAACTCACAGTGATCCACCCGCCTTTGTCTCCACAATGCTGGGATTAAAGGTATGTGCCTCTAATTCCAGCCTGGTACATACTCTTAATCCCAGAATTTGAGAGGCAGAGGCAGGAGGCTCTCTGAGTTCAAGACTAGCCAGGGCTACATAATGAGAGCCTGTCTAAAAATTAAACAAAAGCAACACCCCAGAGTCCTAATGATGGATACCACACTCCTCACCACACTCCCTTTCCCCCTTTATAAATGAACTTAAGAGACCAGGGAGGGGGAAAAAAGGAACAGAGAGAGGTGGCTTGTGAAAAGAGAGGAAGAAAATAGGGAAGGGCGAGCTCAGGGCAGAGCTGAGTCTTTAGGGAACAGTACCATGTAGAGGACTGAGACAGCTGTGGCTGAAAGCAGTAACCACAGAACAGCTATCTCCATCACTGGGGTAAGCAGAGGACCTCAGCAGCCAGCACACTTGCCAGTTTTCACTACCCCCCTTTATCGTGGCTCTGCCCGGGGCTCCCCTATAAGCTCCAAGAAGACAGAGCTCATAACTATATGGTATAGCATTATATGAAAAGCACTAGCACAGAGCTTGCCCCTTGGATGACAATAAATGTCTTGGATAGAAAGCTTATTTGTTGTTTCACAGAAAGTACTTTACCAGACCCTTCCTTATGCCTGAGTTGGACCCTTGGCCAGTTTTGTCTCTTCCCAGACAAGCAGAGACAATTCAGACTCCAGAGCAGTATTCTAGACAGCTCTTAGATGTTTTGTCTAGGGACCAAAATTTCAGGAGGGAAGCCAGAATGCCTAGCCTCACCCTTAGATTCTCTAAGGTCAGAAGATAATCCAAAGATCCCATTCCTCATGCCAATCAAGCTCCCAGTCTTACCTCTTGGCGGTGGTAAGAGGTGTTCAGAAAGCCTTGGTAGCGCTGCCTCAGAGCCTGGCCTAGCTCCCAGTGCTGCAGCATCCCCTCCTGTGGGTAAACCTGAAGGTTAGGACAGCGCAAAGGGAAGAAGGGCTGGCTCACAGGCCCTATGGCATTTAAGATCCTTCCCTTGGCAAGGAGTGAGTTTGATCCCAAAAGTTAAGTGGTCAGTTGTGAATGACATTGTCCTGGGCACAGAGGATTGTTAAGAAATCTGGTCACTGGGCTGGAGAGATGGCTCAGAGGTTAAGAGCACTGGCTGCTCATCCAGAGGACATGGGTTCAATTCCAGCACCCACATGGCAGCTCCCAACTGTCTATAACTCTGGTTCCACGGGATCTGGCACCCTCACACAGATCTACATGTAGGCAAAACACCCAACGCACATAAAATTAAAAAGTGAATTATTAAAAAAGATAGAAAGAAATCTGGTCATACCCAGAGAAATAACTCAGTGTGCTTAGCATAGACAAGGTCCTGGGTTTGATTTCCAAAAACCACAAAAACAAAACAACCGCAAAATAGAAATCTGGTCCATCAGAACCCATGTGGGAAACTAGCAGTTTAGGGAGGCTCAGTTTCTGCGATCCAGACGTGACCCACTCTATAGTACATCCGGAGGCCTTGTAGGTTGGCTTCTGACCCACCTTGGTTAGCTGACCAAACCCCTGGGGCCATTTCTCTTCCTGATAGGGGTCCTTGGGATATGTCTTCACTGGTGACCGATCTCCATGTCGATACAGCTGAGTAAAGAAAATGGTTTGTCTACAGATTTGTCTACCTTCTGGGTCTTCTGGTTAAGGACAGGGCCCACCTTTGCCCATGTCAGAAAAGGAAATCTCATTTCCCTCTGGGAAGCCTTTCCACTAAGCAATGAAAAGAGAACCCCAGTTCAGGAGATTCCTAACAAGGCCATGCAATGTAACCCAAAATAATAGGCAAAGCCAAAAAGCACAGGTAGAAAAGAAGAATTAGTGCAAGCAGTGCATTCTGGGGGAGGAGGCGGGCAACGACAGGGAAAACAAAGATCATCAAAGTCTCTATGGGTGACTCTCAACCTTTTAACTACACTCCCATCCTTGGGAGGAAGCATCCCAGGGAAGAATATCCTCTAACATTACTTGGTTGCCCTGCCCTGCAAAATGGCCTAGGGCTCCAGATCAATTCTGAATCCAGCCTTGCAACCCATCACGGGCCAACTGCTTCCTAAACCAGTTCTTTCTCCTTGAGAAGTGAGAACCCCGACCCCAGAGCACAAGCCCTGCCCCTCCCTCGACCAGCCGGCCTTTGCCCTTTCAGTTTTGGCAAACCCGTCGATGACTCCGTCACCCATTACCAAGGTAACAAAGCGCAGGCTCCGGGCTTGGGTGGGTGGCATCACCGTTAGGCACATGCCAAGAAGAAACTGGAGGAGAGCTGCCTGGCTCCAACCAGACTGCCTGCCCGCCATCACCGTTGTTGGCTGTGCAGCAAAGGGGCCGGAACGCCTTGGGCGGTACCTGCTGCAGACGCCCGGATGCATTCGTAAGAACACTTGCCGGAAGTGTATCTTCGCCATCTTTCTAACGGCGGGCGGGGTGTATGTGAGAAAGACTGGCGGGCGAAGGCGAAATCTGGGAGGGAATGCTCACGAGAAGGTTTCCGATCGGCGGTGATGGACGAGCTCGGGAATGTAGCGCGATATTCCGGACAGAACAGGCTTAAGGACCTCGTTTTTGTAGAGGCCCTAGGTCAGGCTTGCCTCTTCCTCTACCAGGCTGGTGGTGCTTGCCCTGGGCAGGGTCTTAGTCTGGAGAGCGAGCGCCTCCTCTGAGGAGTGCTTCTGAGAGTGATCCCGGAGCCTCAGCTGGTGCAGAATTGGGGTGAGGTGTGGGGAAGGATAGGGCCTCACTTTCTACGCCTGTCTTCTGTGTGTAGTTTGAGCCTTAGCTCTGGCACGGTTTCCCTAAGTGGTCTTGTTTGGGGTGTAGGGTACTGCATGTAAACAGACCTTTGGACTCTCTGTGGCTTTGAGGTTGGTCCAGTCTAGTCTACCATTCATTTCCTGAACAAACCTTTAGTTGCTCTCCCCAGTTTTATCCCTTTCCCTGTGTTTTTCCAATTCTAAATTAAATTAGGCTCAAAACATCATGCTTCCTCTCAGGGGACTTGGGTTGTATAGGATGTTCAGATTTCCCAAACCCATTGCATCGAATTCCTAGGGGAAGAATTTCAGACAACTGGGGCTGTAGTTTGATGCAGGCATGTAACTGGAATTTCCACAGAATCAGAGTCAGACATTAGCCTTTAGGATTTAGGGACAGGTAGCCAGCCTGGGCTCCAGATTTTGTGACTCCAGACCTTATAATGACACAGTACAGGTCAGATCTTAGGCCCTCGGTATGCTTCGATGCAGATCTTCCTACCATAAACAACCCCCCCTCAAATTATCTGCCAACAAATCTGATGAGAACTTACTGTCCCAGGACTTCAGGTCAAATTGTGTACTGACTGCCTAAACTTTACTTCTAAAGTCAACCTTGACAGAGACCGAGTGAGCAGAGTAAGAAGGCTTGAAAACTAGTTTTCAACTAAAAACACACACAGAAAAAACAAACCCCTAGCCAGGAGGTGGTGACACCGTCTTTAGTCTCAGCACACAAGAAGACAGAGGCAGGCAGGTCTCTGAGTTTGAGGCCAGCCTGGCCTACAGAAAAAGTTCCAGGACATCCAGGGCTACACAGAGAAACTGTCTCCAAAAAACACAACAAACAAGCAAAACAAAACATTTTCTGTGTATGGGTGTTTCTCACCTGCACGTCTATCTGTGAAACGTGTGTACAGTGCCCTCCAAGGCCAGAAGGCATCTGATTCCTTATAGATTATGGGTTTTGTTTGTTTGTTTGTTTTTTCCAGAGCTGAGGACCGAACCCAGGGCCTTGCCTTGCTAGTCAAGCGTTCTACCACTGAGCTAAACCCCCAACCCCTCCCTATAGATTAGGAAGAGCCGTGTGGGTGCTGGGAATAACACTTGGATGTTCTGGCAGAATAACCAGTTCTCTTAACAACTAAGTCATCCCACCAGCCTTTTTTGTTTTGGTTTTTGTTTGTCTGTTTTGTTGTTGTTTTTCGAAGCAGGGCTCTCTGTGTAGCCCTGGCTGTCCTGGAACTCACTCTGTAGACCAGGCTGGCCTTGAACTCCAAGATCCCCCTACCTCTGCCTCCAGCATGCTGGGATTAAAGGCGTACACCACCACACCCAGCTAGTTCTTAACTTTCTTAACCGCAGGTTCCCTAGTTCTTAACTTTCTTAACCACAGGTTCCCTTATAAGTCACATGAAAAATTAGCCCTTTAACGTGAACATAGAATACAGTTTTGCATATAATCTCAAGTGATTCACAAAGATCCTCCATATGTTTATGAGATTAGGAAGCCAATCCAGAGAGAAGTGATTTGCCTAAGCTTACACGGTGAAGAGAATGGACTGAAATTCAAACTTGCTTGGTTTTGTTATTTGTCTTTTGAGACAGGTTCCCGTATAACCCAGGCTGGCCTCACACCTCTGACCCTCCGGCCCCCACCTGCTGAGTACTGGAATCACAAGTGTGTGCTGCCCAACTCAGGGGTCTTCTTTCCCCGAGTTCCCTCCCTTTCTTTCAGATAGGATTAGGATCTTGCCATGTAACCCAGGCTAGCTTTGACCTTTCATTCCTGCCTTATCTCCTAAAGGTCCAAAGCATATGCTGCCACACCTAGTTTGAAATGGAAGTTTCCTGATTTCTAGTATATAATCAGTTGTTTGGTTTGTTTTTTTTAAGTATCTATGTATGTTTTGTGTGTGTAGAGGTCAGACACAGCTCTCAGGAGTCCATGCTCTCCTTCTACAATGTGGGTTCTAAAGACTGAACTCAGGTGGTCAGACTTGACAGCAAGTCCCTTCCCTGCTGAACCATCTCACCAGCCCACACCCTGAACATAAAATGGGCTATGGTGGTACATGCTTCTACTTCCAGACAGCGGCAGGTGGATCTCTGTGAGTTTGAGGCCAGGCCGGCATAGTTAGTTCTAGGACAGTCAGGGCTACACAGAGAAACCTTGTCTTGAAAAAAAATAAAGAAAGAAAGAATGCTTCACAAATTTTCTTGTCATTTTTTTTGTGCAAGGCCTATGCAAATCGTTCAGTATTGTTCCAATTTTAGTATATGTACTGCCACGAAGACACTGTAATGGACAGTTTCTTACAGGCTGTTCAATCAGACTGCATATATGGGAGTCCCAAAGTACCTTGAGATTTTTAGCAAAAGAAACCTTTCACATAAGTGGCATCAAATAAAACATGACTAACTGACAAGTGCATAAGTGGGAGTTTTTTGCTTGTTTTGAGACAAGGTCTCATTTTGTAGGTCAGGCAGGCCTACAACTTAAAATCCTCCTTCCACTGCTTCTCGGGTGCTGGCATTGTAGGCAGGCTCCCCCACATTCATCTCAGGGAGTTGTTTTAAGACTGTTTTGTTGTCCCAGCACATGGCAGACTGATGCAGGAAGATCAGGAGTTCAAGGACAGTTTCAGTTACACAGCAAGTTCAAGGCCAGGCTAGGCTATAGGAGACCTTTTGGTATAACTTACTCTGCAAAATTATCCAGGCCATTGTGCTTTCAGAAGGTAAATCTATAGCTCTCCACATAGAATAAAAATCCTTCATGCTTTGCCTTTCTTCCCCTTGCTCAAGTATGTCTGTCCCCTTTGTGTGTCTGTCTGTAAGCATGCGTAGGAAGGATTGGTGAAGCAGATGTTATTTCAGTCTTTGTAGTGTGAAATGATTTCAGGATAATGTGGGCACTGAACATTGATGGTAGGAGCAAAGCTTTGCTTTTGTGATTCCTCAGCCTTTGCATTATTTTCTACAGATGATTTGAAGTTATCCTCACCTTGTTTCCTTACAGTTGGAAAAAGAAAACATCATGTACATGGATAGATATTTGCGGCCCTATTTCAGACCAAATAAATTTGCTGTGGGATGTCTTTCTGTACGCTGTGAATATGTGTTGCTTTGATTGGTTGATAAATAAAGCTGCATTAGCCCATGGCAGGGCAGGATGGAGCCAAGTGGGAAAATCCAAGGGAGATAGGGAAAAGAAAAGAAGGAGAGTGGGGAAGACACTGCTAGCCGCCACCAGGAGAAGCAAGATGTAAAAGTACCAGCTACATAAATCAGTTTCTGAAAGTGAGGTCAAGTTTGAGAACAATTGCTCTACTCTGTGTTGGCAGATGCAGACCTAAATACAGGTGAGTTAACCATCTCTTTTTCTCATTTTTAGAGACAGTCTTGTATAATGGGACAGAGTAGATTTGCTTATTTTATTTTAGTTTGAATTTGAGCATGAGCTTATTTTTTACTTCTGTGCTTACATGTGTGTATGCACATGAGTGCAGGTGCTCATGGAGGCCAGCAGAGGGCATCTGATCTCTGGAGCTGAAGTTACAGGTGGTTGTGAGCCACCCAGCATGGGTACAGGGAACTGAACTTGGGTCTTCTGTAGGAGCAGCAAGGACTCTTAACTGGTAAGCATTCTCCAGTTGGGAGCAGAAGCTTTTGAATCAGTTTTACCTGTATTCAGTTTCAATATGTATGCCTTGTTAGTAACCTTCTCCTAAGATTTTCTGTGAGAATACATGAAATGATAACACATGTAGAATGAATTATGCAGAAAAGCCTAAACAAATACTACTTTTCTTCTTTATGTTCTGCCTTTCTATATCATGTCTGAACATATGGGGTTAGGAAACGGGTTCCCAGGTTCTTCTTTATTTTGTGATTAGGAGATTGGACAGAAGTCAACGTGAGCAGGTTCCCAGGGCTCTGGAAGATGGTTCCCTCACTTTCTACTCAACTAGAGCACTGAAAGAAGGATCCAGAAACAGTAACTGCCCCAGCCCACCTCTGCAAACCTTACTTTATGGCCTGCTTAGAGGGAAAGATTGCCTTTGAGGGAGTTATTTACTAGTACATTTGTCCAGGACCTGGTAAATGGTGCTATTTCTAAGCCTAGAAGCAACCTTTGGAAATTTGGGGTGGAGGAATCAGAGATGTGACTTGTAAGATTCCCCAAGGATGTTCCCAGGGATGTTGCTTTCTGTAAGAGCCAAGAAAACATGGGAAAAGCCCATAGGACTGGGATGCCTTGGCCTTAATTACACTGTGGGTTGATGGAACTGTGCCATGAGGGTGGGGCTGGTAAAGTAGGACATGTGTGCTTCTAGCTGCTGGTCACCTGATTGCTTGCCCTGGCTTGGGGCAGAAGTCCCAGTGGTCAGCCACTGGAAAGTCTGTGGAGATACCATCAACAGGTTTTAGCCTTCCCCATTTTTCCCCTCTCCCTTCTCTTTGTGCCGAGCTCCTCCACCACCTGAAACCTGAAGGGGTGGGTGGTTGTGGTGGTGAGGTACTGGCAATGTTGCGTCTTTTACAGGAAACTGAGCTGCGCTGCCTCCCTGGCTGGCTTGGGGGAGGACCTGCTTGTTCAACAGCTGTCTCTAGCCTGGGTCAGTGGGCTCCAGACTGGGTTGTGTATGTGTCTTCCTGGGGCCTAGGAAGCACCCTGGGAAGCAATTAGGGAGTCGGGAAGGAGCAGGATTAGGAATGGATGAGGGAGACATTTTTTTTAACCCCTAGAAAAGGTCACTGGGCTTCAGGCCAATGTTACATCTCAAGTTCCTTGAAATGAAGTATATCAGGGACATCTCTGAGTGTGCCACTATGCTGGGACATGAGCAAGGGGAGAGAGCTGGATACCTGATGAGTGCTAGGACTGAGCAGTCCCAGTCTCTGTGGCTGCTGTCCTTGGTTTCTACTTTCCCAGGATGACAGGCCTTGTGAAAATAGGGGAAGGAACACATGAGAAGAATGGACAGCCTTGTGCTCGTGATTCATAACTGTCCAGACCAGGGTGGAGGCCTTGTGAGGGGCGACCTTGTGACGAGAAGGAACAAGAGCCAGAGGCAGAAGCTGAAGATGGGGGCTGCCAGAGGGGCTTTTTCTGAATGTGAAAAACGAGTGCATGGGCAGATTTCACAACACCCCCACAGCCCGCTGTCTTACACGTGTTCCCAGTCTCGGCCTGTTCCCTTGGCTCAGCCTGTGCTTCCTCTCATCTTTCACCAAACCCCCTTTCTACTTCAGTTTTCTCGTCCTTCCCCACCCTGTTCTTTCGGGCCCGCCCCCACAACCATGTTCACTCTTGCCCTCTTTCCTCTGTTTTCCTCCCTCATGCCCTCCCTGTTCATCTCTGTTCTGGTCCCTCTGGCGCTTGTCTGGCCCCTGTCCTATGCTTTAATGTGGACCCATGGGAATTGGAGTTCACAGCAAAACAGGAAGGGCCTGTGAGCAGGAAACTGGGAATGGGGCAGGGGGTGAACAGCCAGCAGTAACCTCAACTCCTGCTTCTCACATCTGAATTGAAGCATTTGCAGAGCTCTGCAGCCCACCGGCCCTGCTGCCCACCAGCCCTGCCGATCACCAGTCCTGCAGCCCACCAGCCCTGAGGCCACCAGCCCTGAGGCCCACCTTACCTGCAGCCCACCAGCCCTGCTGCCCAACAGCTCTGAGCCCACCAGCCCTGCAGCCCACCAGTCCTGTAGCCCACCTTACCTGCAGCCCACCAGTCCTGCCGCCCACCAGCCCAGCCAATCACCAGCCCTACCGCCCACCAGCCCTGCAGCCCACCAGCCCTAGCTTCTTCCCATCTCAGAACTTTTCCTCAGACCCGAGAATGCTCTAGACTTGAACACAGGAAGAAAAGATCAGTGGGCCTGGAGGAAGGACATCTGGATTCTGACCTCAGCTTGGCCACTAACTGTGTGGTCTTGGGCAAGCTCTCAAGAGAGCGTCAGTAAATGCTGTAAAATGGAGTCATTTACCCTTTCTGCCTCCCCCTTGGAGTTGCGCTCAGGAGCCAAAGAATAGTGAGGAGTTTGTATATGGAAACAGATTCAAAGGGTTGACCATGTATAGGTTCAAGGTGATGGCAGACAAACCTCTAAAGGAATCGGAGGGGAATGATAACCCTGCCCATCCTTGAACATTAATGACACACTGTGCTGATTTTTCTTTTATGAACATTAGTGTTTTGCCTGCATTTATGTCTGTCTGAGAGTGTTGGATCCCTTGGAACTGGAGTTACAGACAGTTGTGAGCTGCCACGTGGGTGCTGGGAATTGAACTTGGGACCTTTGAAAGAGCAGCCAGTGCTGTTAACCTCAGAGCCATCTCTCCAGCCCCCGTTGTGCTGATTTTTATTCTCACATTGATCTTATGTGTCAAAACTATTATTATTATCCCTACTCAAAGAGAGGTTCAGAGACATTAACTTGCGCAGTCAAGATCAGACAAGTGAATGAGGACGAAGTTCTGCCAAGGAGTGCTTTCCTGGCATAGGCTGTAGCCCCAGCCCTGAGGTTTGAACCCAGAACCCAAATGAGAAATGATTCTGCTGAGTTGAAATAAACTCAAGCTAAAAAGTATGGGATAGAAGAGGCACCTATTTTTCTTCGTTTGTTTACTTATCATTTAACAAACAGAAACATAGTATCTACTGTGCTTCATCTCTAAGCCAGCTGCTGATCCCCTTGGGAGATTAAATCAATGAAACTTGATGTGTTCCTTCAGGGCTGAATCTCCTGTCCCAGGCAGCAAGGCAGGAAAGCTATGGCTGTAGATTCTGTAGCTCATGACACCACCCCAGATGGGACTGCTCTCTAGATAGGCGACCTGCTTATCTGTGGAGATCTGTACTGGGCAGGCCCCCTGGGTTGCTAGCATCTGCTCCTCTCCCAGGCCTCTGTCGCCTGACCTCTTCCCTTCCCTGTCCCCCCTCAGGGCACACAGACTCAAGCTCACTTGAAGGCCCAGCACCTGCTTGTCTTCACCCTTGGAGTACTACCCGCTTGGCTCAGTCCTGGGGCTAGTGGGGAGAGCTTGGCGCCTTCCCAGAGGCAGGGGAGGAGGGAGGCTGGGAACACAGGCTGGGCCTTGGTGTCGCAATTCCGGGCCGTGCCGGGACCTTTGCTCTGCGAGGTGTCTATGGGGGGAGGGGGGGAGGGAACGCTGACTCTGGAGGCTGCTGGGATTAGGGTGGGGGTGCCTGAGAAGCAGTCCTTCTGTACCAGCAAAGAGCTCCCGGGTGAGGAGAGGAAGGAGACACATGGAACTGGGCCGGTCTGCGGGGAAACGCGACAGTCTTGGTAGAGGGTAGGGGACAAGGTGGCGCCGGCTAAGGGGGTGGCCGGCTGGGGAGGAGTTAGCCTGGTGGGGAAGCTACCTCGTGGGCGGGGGCCTAAGGAGACTAAGGGCTCCGGGTCGCGGGGAGGAAGGACCCCTTGTCGGTCCCTCCCCTCAGCCTTTTCCTACTTTACTGCTTGTCCCTGCCGGCCCCTGTGGGCTCAGCTCTAGTCACTGGCTGCCCGCTGCGGCCTCGAGGGCCGGGCACTGCAACACCCTCTTCTCCAGCAAGGGGGCTCCAGAGACCAAGCAGCCTGCAAGTCTGGTGACCTGGGGATTGGTTTATCTGGTCGGCTCCTAGACAGTGGTCCCGGGGGCTCTGTCCTTGCATCCGGGTTGGGGAGCGATGGGATGGGAAGATATTCTTAGGGAAGAATCTCTGGGGGAAAATGAGGAATAATGATAACAGGAGTTCCGGGCAGGGACAGAGTTTTTCTGGGTCTCAAAAGAACTGGAGGGGTTCTGGGAGAGGAGGCCCTGTACTGGGGAGAGTCTTGTGATGAGAACTTTATGCTGGGACTTCAGAAATATTCTAACAAGCAGACTCAGAGTGAGCTTGGATCCAGTCTCGTGGTCCTGCTAACTCTGGCTCTCTCTACTGTTAGAGGTGGGTGCAGAGAACATGGGACAGTCCTGAGACCTCAGACAATTCAGGATTCTGCTCTTGGTGCTACCACCCCCACCTGTGTGGCCATAGGCGGTTTCTTTAACCTCTTTGAACCTTGGTTTCCTTATCTTTAAAATGGATTTAAGAACAGTCCTGATAAACCGGGCGGTGGTGGCACACACCTTTAATCCCAGCACCCAGGAGGCAGAGCCAGACGATTTCTGTGAGTTTGAGACCAGCCTGGTCTACAGAGCAAGTTCCAGGACAGCCAAGGCTATACAGAAAAACCCTGTCTTGAAAAACCAAAATAAAGAAAGAGAGACTAGTCCTGACAAGCTGGAGGTATCGTTCAACGGCAGGCAGATCATTTGCCTAGCCTGCATGAAGTTCTGGATTCAATCTCCCTAACTGAAAAAAATAATATAAAAAGTCCTGACTTCATAGGGATATAACAAAGAAGGCTTTACAGGCTAGTCCATGGCAAGTAAATGTCAGCTGATAATCTGAGGACGGATGGAAGGTAGCACAGAAGGGAGCCTGGTTCTGGAGGTGTAACCTGGGTCATTCCTGCAGGACAGTGTCTTGGTAATGTCCAGGGCTCCAGGAAGAGATGTCCTTGTGGCTGGAGGCTCCAGGACCTGGTGTTTGTCCTGGTAAGCTGCTTTATTCAAACCTTCTCTCTGAGCCGAGGCCTCTGACTCCTCTCCTACCCCAGGAATCAGCCCCCTTCACTGCCTGCGTCCCGCACTTCTTAGCAGCACAAGCCAGATCTGTTCTTAGTGTTACTTGCCTCAGACCCTTTGCCCTGGTTCTAGTATTTGTTCGTGAAGTCCTCGGTCTGGATTTGCTTCTGGGGAAAGCCGACATGTCTCATGCTTAGCTCTCACTGGAGAGTTCTGTCTGATCTAGGAAATGGATGCTCTCCAGCACCCCCGAGGGGACAAAGCTTAGCATCTTCATCTAAGATCTTTTTTTTTTTCTTTTCTTTTCTTTTTTGGTTTTTTGAGACAGGATTTCTCTGTGTAGCTTTGGAGCCTATCCTGGAACTCGCTCTGTAGACCAGGCTGGCTTTGAACTCACAGAGATCCGCCTGGCTCTGCCTCCCAAGTGCTGGATTAAAGGTGTACACCACCACGCCCGGCTTCATCTAAGATCTTGTTGTGCAAAGGACTGAAAGTGACTAGTCCTAGATTCCACATGATCCTGGAATCTGAAAGCATGAGCTGGGGCTTGGGTGCCTTCTTTTTCTGTTTTTTTTTTTTTTTTTTTTTTTTTTTTTTTTTTTTTTTTTCCCGAGACAGGGTTCCTCTGTGTAGCATGGCTATCCTGGAACTCACTGTGTAGACCAGACTGGCTTCAAACTCAGAGATCCACCCGCCTCTACCTCCCAGAGATTAAAGGTGTGTGCCACCACTCCTGGCTAGCTTAGCTGCCTTCTAAGGGTAGAGTTAAGTTTATAGCCAAGACATTTGGGGATGGAGTCTGGATAGGACACGAACCCATCCATACTCCCTTCGTGCCTCTTTTTGGGCTCAGACTCTGCAACGGAATTATGGAAGACAGAAACCCAAGATGCAAGAGACCAGGGAGGCAGCAGCTGCATCGTCAGGGAGGAAGCTAGGATGGCCCAGTCTGCTGGAAGTGCTTTGAGGATGGGGTTGGAGGCAGCAGAGCCCACAGCCCTGCTCCCCAGGGCAGAGACCTTTACAGAGCCTACAGGTAAGAAGCACCCGGATTTGGAGAAGGTAGGGGCTCCCTAGATCCGAGAGGGGAACTCTGGGGTCCTTTGCCTTCTAAGGTCACAGTTAAATCCCACGTGACTCTGGTGTGAATTTGGTCTGTATCTTAGGCATTTCTGAGCCTCAGTTTCTTTGTGATTTGAAATTAACCCTCATGATTGTCCTGAGGATCAATGCTTATAAAGAGCTCATGCAGTACCTAGGACATAATAGTCCTTGGTAAAGGACAGCAACTGTTATAGATTAAGCCAGGCACTGTGGCATGCCCTGGTAATTCAAGCTACTCTGGAGGCTGAAGCAAGATCACTTGAGCCTAGGAGTTCAAAAGTTCAAAACCAACCTAGGCTATATATTGTGAATCTGAGAGATGAGGGAGGAAGGGAGAGAGAGAGAGAGAGAGAGAGAGAGAGAGAGAGAGAGAGAGAGAGAAAGAATATCATTCAATGAAGGGAAGAGAATAGAGTGCCCAGCCAGGAGTGATCAAGGAAGGGAGGACATTAAGCCTTGTGTCTGTATCCAGAGCTTCGTCCACAAAAGCGGAAAAAGGGGCCAGCTCCCAAAATGCTGGGGAATGAGCTGTGCAGTGTATGCGGGGACAAGGCCTCTGGCTTCCATTACAACGTGCTGAGCTGCGAGGGCTGCAAGGGGTTCTTCCGCCGCAGTGTCATCAAGGGAGCACGCTACGTTTGCCACAGCGGTGGCCACTGCCCCATGGACACCTACATGCGGAGGAAATGCCAGGAGTGTCGGCTGCGTAAATGCCTCCAGGCGGGCATGCGGGAGGAGTGTAAGTGTCTGGAGCAGGAATTGGGAAGAGCTGATGGGAGACTATTGACGCCCTGTTGTGAAGGCAGATAGATGCTTATTCCTGCGGGGCTCTCCTGAGTGTGGATTAAAACTCCCTTAACCAGGCATAGTGGCAGCACTAGGGAAGCCGAGGTGGATCTCTGAGTTCAAGGCCAGCCTGGTCTACAGAGTGAGTTCAGGGACAGCCAAGAGCTACATAGTGAGACCCTGTCTTGCAAAACAAACAGACAAAAAACACCGAAACAAAAACAAAACAAAAAAGAAAGAAAAGAAAAAGAAACACCTTCCTTGCTTTCACACACATTTTGTTCCTGGAGCATAAAACCGTCCATCCCCCCTTCCCCATCGCTGCCTCTTGTTCACCCTTACCCCGCTTCCTACTTCACATCAGGCCCTGTCTTTAGGTGTCTTGTCAGAAGAACAGATCCGCTTGAAGAAACTGAAGCGGCAAGAAGAAGAGCAGACTCAAGCCACGTCAGTGTCCCCCAGGGTTTCCTCAGCTCCCCAAGTCCTGCCACAGCTCAGCCCGGAGCAACTGGGCATGATTGAGAAGCTGGTTGCTGCCCAGCAACAGTGCAACAGACGCTCCTTTTCTGACCGACTGCGAGTCACGGTACTTGATGACCTGGGGCGAGGTGGCTGTGCCCGAGGCCCCAGCTAACTTGTTGTCTGACTCACAGCAATTTGCTTTTTCCTTCCTTGCCCACCCTGGGTAGCCTTGGCCCGTCACACCTGACCCTCAGAGCCGGGAAGCCCGACAACAGCGCTTTGCCCATTTTACTGAGCTGGCCATCGTGTCTGTGCAGGAGATCGTTGACTTTGCCAAACAGCTCCCTGGCTTCCTGCAGCTCAGCAGGGAGGACCAGATCGCCTTGCTGAAGACCTCTGCGATTGAGGTGGCTGAAAGGGAATGGGATGAAGGGAGAACCAGAGTAGGCTTATCTGTAGGGGACCTCCAGAGATCCAGCTTGGAGAGTCTGAGCCATTGGGAAAAGGAGTCAACCTCCTTCCAAGGGCCACGTACCAAGAGCAGCCCCTTCGTGCCTGTTTGAAAGCTGCTGCTTGTGTGCAGGTGATGCTTCTGGAGACGTCACGGAGGTACAACCCTGGGAGCGAGAGCATCACCTTCCTCAAGGACTTCAGTTATAACCGGGAAGACTTTGCCAAAGCAGGTGAGATCTAAGATGGCCAGGGCACTGGCGCTTTCCATCATGGGGCCCATCAGGAGAGCCGTGGACCTGAGGTTTGGGTGGTTATACAGTGGGGACACCACTTGTTTTTCCAAGAGAGAAGTTTGGGATGTTGATCAGTCACTTCAGCTGCTCCAAACAGACCTCTGTCCACTGACACATGTGAGGTTTTTGTAAGCATCTTCTTGGAGGAGACCAGGCCCGGCAGAGCGCGGGGGTGGGGTGGGGGTTCATTCTTGCTTTAACCAATGAAGCTCTACTTAAATCTGCGTTGTGCTTCTGCTTAAAAGTTGAAAATATTGTATAGCTAAGAAAGCGTTTTGAAAACCACTGTATCAGCCTTTTGAGACAAAAGGCAAGAAACCCTTTTCAGATAATGCTCTTTAAGATCACGCAGGCTCACTCAAGCCTGACTCTCTTTCTGTCCCCCACCCGGTGAGCTGAACAACCAGGGCTGAAGCATAACAAACGTGCAGAATAGGAGAGCTGTAGGATCAAATCCAGTGTTTCCTCTGGATCGGGTGGAGTTGATGCTGGGGTCTGATGCTGCTCAGTGCTAAGCAGTGGAGGGTTCTCTTATTCAGCTGTTGGGGATGCTTATGATGAGACAAGTGGGGCTGGGAAAGGATGCAAGTCTGGAGGAGTGGGGCTGGGAAAGGATGGCAGAAGTCTGGAGGAGACTGAGGACTTGGCAGCTGAGAGAGCAGGCTGTGAAATACAGCGAACGTTGTGCCTGTTCTCAGGGCCGATAGTTCAGAAAGCTTTCACTGGCATCTGGTGACTCAGGCTAACCCCTGAGCCCCTTGTCCCAATGTGGCCCTTCTAGGAAGGCCTCCCTTAACTGCAGGGGAAGGCAAGGCTCTGTCAGCCCCGCTGCGTTTCTTTGTTTTCTGAATGTCGGGGTACTTAGTGGGCAATATGAAGGTGCTGTCCAGACTTAAAACCAGCCCTGTCCCTCTTTCCCACCAAACCCCCCTCAAACGGTTGCTGACTTTAGACTTCCTTAACCCTTGCCTCTGTCAGGACACGCTCCTTTCTGAACCCTTCCTGTTCCTTCAGCACTCGTGGATTTGGGCTATCTGAATCGGCACCTATTTATAAGATTTCTTTATTTAAGCAGTTTTGATGTCATCGTGTTTTTCATTTCTCATTTTATCAGTGTGTTTTTGGGAAAAAGGAACAGAAGCCTCTTTTTATTTTTTCTTTCTTCTCTTTTTAACCATTTTTTAACGTTTGTCTGTCTTGTTTTTCTCTCTCACTCTGTGTGTGTGTGTCTGTGTGTCTGTGTGTCCGTGTGTCCTGCTTTTCTTTCCCCAGAGGCTCTGTTTTGTCAAGTCTCTCCCAACCCCATCCACTGCCATATGTTGCGTACAATGGCTGACTAATGTGAACCAATCTCATGTGAGGGATTCCTCCAGCGAGCATTAGCAGACCCTCACGAGGGCACAGCGCAATTCCAGAACCTTCTTTTTTTCTTTGTATGGGGGGCTTTTGAGCATATTTTGGAGCTTAAAATTTCATCAAGAAATGCTTTATAAAATGAAGCTGGCCTCTTGACTAGATCAACACATAACGCTGGATAGACATCAGGGTGAAAGTACAGGAAGTGACTCATCAAGAGACCTGGATGGAAAAGCGTAGCAGATGGCTGCTGAAAGAGATCTGAGAAAGCCTAGAAAACAGTCTGGGGCGGAGACATTGACAATGCGAGGGGAAGACATGTTCAGCAGGTGCCTCGCTATAGGTCAGGGGTTATTGCATACTCATTGTCTTCCCTGAAAGAAGACTGGTTGATTATTATTGGGTTTTGTTGTTGTTGTTGTTTTAAATGGGGAGACACATATGAAGATCAGTGGTTCAAGTCCATAGGCTGGAGAAGTAGTGTGCATCTGTAACCCCTGTGCTGGGGAGCAGGCAGAGACAGGCAGATGCCCAGTCTAGACTCAATGGCTTGCTCCAGGGTTAGTGAGAGTCTGTTCAAACACAGTGGAAAGCAATGAGGAAGACATCTGAGGTTCACTTCCGGCCTCCGCAGAGCAAATGGGCATGTGCACCCCCTTCCCACGTCCATGAACACACACACAAGTTCAAGGCCATCCTTGGCTAGTCTGGGGACTATATGAGACATTGTCACAAAACAACAACAACCAAAACAAAACAAAAAACCAACCAAACCCAAAAACAAAAACCAAGGTAGAAGCCAGGCATGGTGGCACATGCCTTTAATCCCAACACTCAGGAAGCAGAGAGAGGAAGATTTATTTGAGTTCTAGGCCAGCCTGGTCTATATAGAGTTCCAGGGACAACTAAAGGCTATGTAGAGAGACCCTGTCTCATTACACAAAAAAAAGGTCAACCAAGCTCAGTTGGTAGAGTGTTTTGCCTAGTGAGGGCCTGGATTCAACTCCCAGTACCACATGAACTGGCTATGGTAGTAAATATTCATAATAGTACCACTCATGAGGCCTGAAGTCCAAAGTCACCCTCAGCTACATAGTGAATTTGAGGCCAGCCTGGGCTCTATGGGACCTTTGCACAAAAATGAAGTCTTTTTAAAAATTTAATGAAGCCAGGCAGTGGTGGCGCATGCCTTTGATCCCAGCACTCAGGAGGCAGAGGCAAGCAGATCTCTGTGAGTTCAAGGTCAGCCTAGGCTACAGAGTGAGTTCAGGAAAGGCACAAAGCTACACAGAGAAACCCTGTCTCAAAACAAACAAACAAAAAAATTTAATGAACACATAGTAGATACCACATATACATTTATTATTCTAAGAAGTTTATAAGGTAAATCTTATTATCTCCAGATTACAGGTGGGGACTCTAAGGCACAGATAGGTTAAATAACTTAACCACTTCACCCAGCTTAGTAAGTAGCAGATTCAGGGGAGTCAAATCCTGGCAGTCTCGAACTGCAGTCCACACCCTGAGCCACATTCTATCCAAGATGTGCTCTATCAGCTGTAGCCTAGTATTCAGATAAGGCCATTTGCCAGCCAAAAAGGGCTTCTTTATAAGCAAAGTAAAAGATATCTATTTCTAGAAACATGACATCCTTGAGAATCCTAATAATTGTTGTTTAATGCAATACTTTTCATGCTAAACCTTCTGCATACTTACCTTATCATGTAACCATCTGTATTAGTTACTTTCTTCAGTTTCTTGACAAAATACCGGCCAAAGGCAACTTAAGGAAGGAAGGGCTGGGGCTGTAGAGATGGCTCAGAGGCTAAGCACACTGGCTGCTCTTCCAGAGGTCCTGAGCTCAATTCCCAGCAACCACATGGTGGCTCACAACCATCTGTAATGGGATCTGGTGCCCTCTTCTGGACTGCAGGGATACATGCAAACAGAACATTGTATACATAATAAATAAATCTTTTTTAAAAAAGAAGGAAGGGCCGGGCAGTGGTGGCGCACGCCTTTGATCCCAGCACTCGGGAGGCAGAGCCAGGTGGATCTCTGTGAGTTCGAGGCCAGCCTGGTCTACAGAGCGAGATCCAGGACAGGCACCAAAAACTATACAGAGAAACCCTGTCTCGAAAAACCAAAAAAAAAAAAAAAAAAAAGAAGGAAGGTTGTATTGGCCCCTGGCTTGAGCATGTAGTTCATCATGGGGATAGGTGTAGCAGTAGATGTAGAGCAGTGGTTCTCAACCTTCCTAATGCTTCAACCTTAACTGTGGTTTTGCTACTGTTATGAACCATAATATAAATATCTGATATGCAGGATATCTGATGTGACCCCCAAGGGGTCACAGCCCACAGTTGAACCCCTGATGTAGATAGTCACATGGGATCCACAGTCGGGAAGCAGAGACAGATGAATCGAGTGCTCAGCTTTCTTTTTATTCAGTCCCTCACAGACATGCCCAGAGGTCCGTCACACCATCACGATAGGTTTTTGTTTTGTTTTGAGATAGGATCTTGCTATGTGGCCCAAACTGGTTTGAAACTTGGAATCCCCTTGCCTCAGCCTTTCAAGTGCTGGAATTACATTCACGCACTACCATTCCCAGCAGACTGGTTTTGCTCGCCAGTTTCCACCTGACTCGAATTTCACAGAGGAGATGTAGAGAAGTTAAGTGTGTTCTTGCCCAGCAGAAACCTGGAGACCTTTCAGTGACTTCCTAGCAGTCCCCCACATTGAGTTGGAGGATGTTCTCCCCGTGCCCGCCATAAGCCTCAGTGTCCCTTCCTCCCCAGGGCTTCAGGTGGAGTTCATCAATCCCATCTTTGAGTTCTCCCGAGCTATGAACGAACTGCAGCTCAACGATGCCGAGTTTGCCTTGCTCATCGCCATCAGCATCTTCTCTGCAGGTGCGGAGGAGGGCCAAGAGGGAAACCTAGTCAGAGACCTTCACCCAGGAGGGCTGTAGTCCCTCCAGGGCAGGAAGCCTGGGTGTGGAGGACCCTGCTGTGTTACTGTGGATGGGAGGTTGGGTGGGATGTGTCCCTATTTGGGAGTTATGATTTGGGGTATGGAACCAAGACCTCGGCCAGACCTGCTCCTCAACTTTGTTGGTGACCTATAGACCGGCCCAACGTGCAGGACCAGCTCCAGGTAGAGAGGCTGCAACACACGTATGTGGAGGCCCTGCATGCCTATGTCTCCATCAACCACCCCCACGTGAGTCTCCTCAGTGCCTTTTTCTTCTGCTCTTCAGGCCCCTTTCCAGATATCCACTTTGTTTCAAGACTCTTGCTTACACCCAGCATGGGCAGTTCTTTACTTTCCTTTCTCAAAATTTCCCTGCCCCGCTCTCCTTCTCTAGGGAAGAGCAACAGCTAGACTTCCCTCTTTCTTTCTTCCAGGACCGACTGATGTTCCCACGGATGCTAATGAAGTTGGTGAGCCTCCGGACCTTGAGCAGCGTCCACTCAGAGCAAGTGTTTGCACTTCGGCTGCAGGACAAAAAGCTTCCCCCGCTGCTGTCTGAGATCTGGGATGTCCACGAATGACGGTTCTTCCTCCAGGTCCTCTGTGCTTTGGGACACACGACTGAGGCTTACGGACTGCTTCCTAGAGGTGGAGCAGACTGAGAAGGGCGAACCTTCCTGGGAGCTGGGTGAAGGAGATCCTTGCATGGCATTAAAGGAGAGTCAAAGGGTTGGGTGTTGTGTGGCTGCTGGGCAGTTGGGGACCTACTATCGTAGTGCACATCTGAAGACCTTATTGACCCAACCAAATAAACTAGCCAGGAAGGCCCCTTTGCACAGGGTTCTTCAGGGCCCTGCCCATCTTGTCTCTACCACTTCCTGTTTTTCCCCATAGGGCCCCAAAGAAATTCTCCACTCTCATTCTGCAGCCAGGCTGTAACTGCCACAGGGCTCTTTCACCAACAGGTCTGGCACTTGGAACAGAAAGGCCAAGATAGGGAAACCAGTTTCTGGATCGAGGGTAAGGGTGCTGGGGTGGAGGAAGCCTGTGTCCATTAGAACCTGCCTCCACATTCAGGAGAGGGACAACAATCACAAGTGACAGCTTTTGTTCACTAGGCCCGCTGCATAAGAGAAATGCTTAGGCTTTGGTGCACCTTCCCCTTTAATGATCAAGGCAGAAGCAGGTGCTCTTACTGTCTGGGGAGGAGTCGGAGCTTCAGCAATAACTCAGCAGTACACCTCACGTGTGTGTGTGTGTGTGTGTGTGTGTGTGTGTGTGTGTGTGTGTGTGTGTGTGTGTGTGACGTCTCACTTTTAACACTGGCATCTGAAAAGGAGTACAGCCTTAAAGACCCCAGGCCGGGTAATACTTCCCTTCGGGCTCTGGGCCCTGGGGGACTCGAAGAAAAGTCCCCGGAGGCTCGTGGAGGATGACCAGTGTTTTGAGTTGTCAAAAGGATTGGACTCCATTTCCCAGCGGGCATCGCGGCGCCGTTCTCGTTTCCCCCTACCTTGGTGTAGGTGATACCTGGCAGCGCCAGCCTGAAGTGCCCCCGCCATCCAGAATTGGTAGAGTCCAGCGGCCGACTAGTTGGCTTTCCTGCCGGGGCGGCTGGGCACGTCCAAACAGCGTGCAGGGGGAGCCAGCTGAGGTTTGAAGAAACCGTCAGAAAGTCTTAGGGGCAGTTTATTTCACGAAGTACCTTCATATTAAACACTGTTTCGTCAGGACGGGCTCTATAACCAAGTCGCATTAAAAGCTGTCTGAGCAACCAAAAGAAAACGTGTTCCTTTGGGTCCTCCCCTTGGCACCTCCCGGCACTGGGCTAGCCCAGGGCTTCCCATCGCGTTCCCACTCCCACAGCGCTAGGTGTGTGCGTAGCCGCCTTCCTCTCCCTGCGCTTCCCCGGTGTGGTGCTTCCCCGGGCTGCGAATGGTACGGCCCCGGCCCCCTCGGCCTCCCCCTCCGGCCGCGGGTCTGAGTGGTACGCGCCCCCCCGCCCGGTGCAGACGCGGAACTGGCGCCCGCTCGCCGCGGCGCCGGGCTCGCTCGGAAGCCGAGAGCGCTCCGCGGCGGGGAGACGTCAGGCGGGCCTGACAGGTTCCTGGGAGCTGGGGAGGTGGGGAAGTGCGCGCCGTGGGGAGCCCTGGGTGGGTCTTGGAGGGGGAAGCGGCCGCCGAGGGAAGGGTCTCGGAGGCGGCCCCGAAGGAGCGAGCGCGAGGGGGCGTGGAGCCTGCTGCGAAAGTGAGGCGGGGGCCCGAGGCGGGGCGCCCGCGCTGCCCAGGGGCGGCGGGCTGGCGCTCGGCTCCGCTCCTCCGGTGCGGCTGGCGCTGCGGGTTCCCGGGTGGGGGCGAGGAGCTGTCCAGCAGGTGAGGGGGCGGGCAGAGCTGTCCAGCCCCGGGCCCGAGCAAGGCACCGGCGCCTGGCGCGTGTGCGCCTGCGTGCGCACGCCTTATTTTTGATTAGCGTTTGGAGAACCACGCTTGGATCGCTAATGTATACATATATATATTTACATTTCGTTCTTCAGTATTGACTTGCTGAAGACTAGGCACACCATTTCATCTCTGCTGCACCTGCTCCCCTCTCCATCCTCCCGCAGCTCCATTCTTCCTCGGGCTCTCTCCTCCTTCCTCAGTCCTAGCCATCCCTGGCTTCGTTGCTCCAGTTCTCCCCCACGCTGGACCAGTCTGCTGATGAGCTTGCAAGGTCACTGCCTGGGGAGGAAGGAGGAAGGGGAGGAAGCCTCCCGTTTGGCTCACGTCAGCGAAGATATCATATCGTTCTTGGGTCGGGTTCCTGTGGTTTTCAGTATGAGATCCTGCCCCAGAGGAGGGACGAATCCACAGGGTTCGGTGGTGTGGCCATTGCAGGCCGAAAAGGCATAGATTACCTAAAGGTGTGTGGATTCTAGCCGTGGGTGCTGATGTCGGAGTACAGCAAAAGGAATGCATTTGGAGATTTGGACTACAGTAGGACAGGAGCTAGGGCTCTACATTTGTAAATAAGATTGAAGCAAGAGGCAGAGTCTGAGCCTGATGGGTTATGAAGACTACATGAGTTATAGGTGTTGTTAGAGGAGGATTTGGCGTCTGTGGGGAAGGCAGAGAAGGAGAACAGCCTTGATTATCTCTGTAGTCTGAGTATCTAAAGTCAGTGGCTATAGATGGGATAGGAATTAAGGCTAAAAATATCCTACCACTGCTAGCTAGGATAGTCCCAAGATCTCGAGTTATTGAAACTCGGAGATGAAGAGTGTAGAGTACGGCAGTTGGCTTGAGTTGGGAGAGGGGCTTCATCTCACTAATATTAGGAAGGCCCCCGAAACTAATTTACTAGCAGGAGGAAGCTTCAGCACCGCTTTTGGGATTTTAGCCAGTAGACGCTTCTAGTTTTCAGTGTAGACCTTCATAAGGACTCAGCCTACAGCTCAGGTCCTACAATTCTGGCTTGCGATAAGGTGCTGGAAATAGGTCTTGTTTGTAGCTAGATTTTTCTATGTAGAACACATGACTTTCACCTGTATCCCGTTCTATAGCTTTGTTTCTCTCTCTCACTTCTCTTAGGAGAAGGGGAGCTCAGCTCTATAAAGGGCGCCTTGCTTCTGCAGTATGCTCATGGCAATGATAGTTGGGAGAATCCAAGGACTGTTTGGGATTGTTAAGAGTGATGAACCCCAGAAATGACTGAATGTGTGGCATGCTCAGAAACGTGGTGGTGAAGAGCTACTTCTATTAAAAGCTGCAAGTGGGATTTAAAACACACACACACACACACACACACACACACACACACACACACACACACAGAAGTGAAGATAACCTGATTCTTAGTAGATGCTGTTAATGGACTAGGAGTCTCTAGAGTTAGGAAGAATGAACTGTTATGGGCCATGGCTGACTTTGGAGTAGCAGCTGCTAGCAGTGTTCGGTCACCAAGCAGGGGAGGGCCTATGGCTCTGCTATAAATAGTGCTGGGAGCCAGAGTCGCTATGGAGACAAAACTGAATCCTATTACCTATGGGTCCTGTATTGGGAGCAAGGAGGAAAGAGGGGAGAGCATTTTGAGGACACCAAGGGTATTGTAAATAGGTCTTACTTATGGGTAGAGGAGGTAAAAAGAACTCATCACCTAAATCAAATAGTGCCCTCAGTATTACAGGCAATGTCTGTGTCTGCAATATGGGAGTGTGCACAGCAAGTGAAGTGGAGTGTTTAGGTGTGTGTGGTAGTGTAATAGGAGTTTGTGTGTGTGTGTGTGTGTGTGTCTGTGTGTGTGCATGTGCATACAGTGAACATGGTCTCAGTGTGGCCATGGAAGCAAAACCTTGGAGCATTGGAAATACCCTATACTGGAGCAAAACATTTTGTTTAGAAGTCTGTGAAAATCTAATAGGAAATATAGATTCATTAAAAACATATTTGTTTATTTCGTGTGTGTAAGTGCACTCCGTGAGTGCAATGCTGAGAAGAGTGAGTTTCCCTTGAGCTAGAGTCACAGGCAGTTACGAGCCACCCAACGTGGGTACTCAAAACTGAGCCTGGGTCTTCTGAAAGAGCCACATACGAGTGGTCTTAACTGCGGAGCCATTTTTCTGGCTCCAGGAAAGAATCGATTTTTAATATGTTTAGAAATTCCCTTGAACACCCCTCCCCCATACTTGCAGAAACCCTAGTATTTTCAGTCCCTAATTTGTAATCTCTTCAAGATAGAGAAAGATCAGGCCTCCCGGGAACACACTGTTTTACTGACTCTGATCCCAAGAGCAGACTAGACAAGAGCTAGTAGTAGTTCAGCACCAAGGGCAGAGGTAATAGCCATAGCTGCTGGCCCCCTTTCTGCCTTGAACTGGGAAAACTGGTCAGAGATGAGTCAGTTGGGACATGGACATTTTTCATGTGAGATCACATGAGCTAGAATACCCAGCTATTGTTACTGTCTGCGTGCAATTAACTGGAAAGTCTATATGATAGTTACACATCAAGCTAAAAGCTGCTTAGTGAGACAGAATAATTAGGTTTCCATCTAGACAGAAAAGCACAGATTAGTGCTATTCAAAGAGTCTGGTTTGATCTTGATCACCCCTGGAGTAGTCCTGAAAGCGACTTTTTTGTTATCATAATTATTCAGTCTAGATTAGACTGTCTGGGTCTGTTTTTCAGAAGCAGAGCCCCGGGAACGAGGTTGGAACTGAGCTAGTTAGTGCTGAGCCGTTATTTCTCCAGCTCCTCTACCTTCTCCTTCCTGTGGTGCTAAGGATGGAAACCAGGGCATTATACATACTAGATAAGGGCGCGACCACTAAGCTACACCCTCAACCCCTGTTCTACTTGAAATTTGACTCTCAGAGTCTCTTTGACTCTGGGAGCCCACAAACCTAGACAGCCACCAGTCTAAGCAAGTGTCAGATTCTCTCCTGAGTACTTAAGTGGAAAGGTCTTCTGACCTGGGCCCCTGGCGGGGATGAAACTGAGAGGGATGATTCCCTTAGGCATAGCGATGCATATTTATCAGTACTCTTCCCCTGTTGGATTTTCAGATTCTATCAGAATTCCTCCTGGGAGTGCTGACTTCTTGCTCAGTGCCCCGAAGTTTCTCTGCGATGAACTGACAGATTGGAACCATGGTGCAAAAGAAGTTCTGCCCTCGGTTACTTGACTATCTAGTGATCGTAGGGGCAAGGTAACAAGAAGACGGACAATTGTCTTGTTCTCTGGGGTGGCCTCAGTTTTTCCCAGACCTTATTTTCATGTTGCTCTGCACATCTTATTCCCCCTATTGTCTTACCCTGACGGGAACTTTGATGTTGGCAGGGCAAGCCATACAGTTGGGTGGTGTGAGAATGTCAGTCTGGACA